GAAGTCAGGAAGGGGGGCGAGGCAGGAAGAAGGAGCGCGGGCGGATTTACTGCTTTGCTACCGCCATGTGTGGGCACATGTCCTGTCCCCCCCAGACCCGACCCGGGCCCCGGAGGACAGGAGGCCGTGACCAGGACGCCGGCAGGCCCCTCGGGCTCTGCAGGACAGAGACGGGCTGTTGCGCACGTGTGTGTGTGTGTGTGTGTGTGTGTGTGCGCGCGCGCGCGCGTGCACGGGCGTGCGTGCATGTGGGTGTCTGGCTTCTAGAATGAGCTGCTCTCGCTCTCAGGAAGAAGGGAGCTAGGTTCTCCTCATCTTCGTTGTTAGCGAGTCTCTGAGGTTTTTCCTCGCGAAATGATTTGTCTAGAAAACAGCCAGTAGCACCAACAGGCGGAGTGGGTGTCTGCTGGGCACAGGGACCGTTCAGAAGGCAACAGCCTCGTCTTCACCAACAAAGGCGGTCAGAAGGGTGACGTCCAGAGGCCACTTCGCGCCGGACGGAGAGCGTGGGCACCAGGCTGCACTGGCCCAGACGGCACCGCTCTGGTGCGCGGGATCTGCATGGAGGCCCCGGCCCTTGCGGGGGACTCAGACCAGAGAGGTGCCAACGCTCTCCCATTAACCCATGAATCCGGGCGATGCCCACGGAACAACTTTCTCCATTAACCCGTGAATCCGGGCGATGCCCATGGAATTCTCTTCAGGACTCAGATGCCCTGAGACTCACGTGGGGGGATCGGGGTCCCCGAGGAGCTACTCCAGCTTCACAGGAGACGAGCAGAGGCGACGGCCCCCCGAGGCGTTAGGACCTCTGCCAGGTGCAAGGGAGAGCAGGGGGCGCTGGCCGAGCTCTGGGCTGGGGCCGGCAGGGCGCCTCTCTCTCACTGGCTGGAGCAAGCTCAGTGTCCCTGCTGCCGAAGGAGACGCCCCAAGCCCTATGTGCCCCTGGACAATGCACCCCTTTTGCTAGGCCCTGGTCTGCCCTCCCCGTTTCTCTCCCACTGGGGACCTCGTGTGGTGGGTGCAGCCCCTCACACTGGCCCGGAGGACTATCCACCAGGGAGGAGTTTCTGCCTCTGCTCCCCTCGGGGCACCCCTCTCTCCTGAGTCCCTTCTGCGCACCCTCCGGACCCTCCCTGTGCCCGCAGTGTGCTCGGGCGGCGCTTGGGCCATGCACAGGGCAGGAGGGTGGTCTCAGGGATCTGGGGGGCACGTCCTCCCCTTCGGGTGTAACCAGCAGCCCCAGGGCCCGGGCAGCGGGAGGCGTGGCCCGACGTCTGGCTCTGACCGGCTGTGACTGCACTCCCCGTCCGTGAAACTCGGATAACAGA